GTTAAATTTTTAGGTATTTCAACAAAACTATTTTCTTCGTGTATTAAAAGACTAAATCGAGACGTTATATTTAACGTCATAATAATGATGTGAACAAAGAAATATCGCGGACAGAAAAATATGTCCGTTTGACCTGTAAAGGAATATAAATAAAAATTTGACTAATAAAATATTTAAAGAATGCTTATGGAGGGAAATAGAGAAGAATAGAAAATAAGTTTACATAGGAGAGAGACAGAAATATACCTTTTTGTAAGAATCAGAAATGAAAAAATTTAGAAAGAAAAAAATTGAGATCAAGTATAAGTTAAGGTTTCTGAGTAGTCATTGTGTATGTATTGTCATAAGCGAGATGATATGTTAACATTTCTTGCATATCATTTGTAAATAAAAAAAAAGAATGATGTGAATAAAACACAATAATCAGATAGCTTTAAAACACTTGAAAATGGATTAAAAAAAACTGTTCTTGTCTGCCGTGACAGTCAATAAATAGTCGTAAAATGCACGTGAAGAGAAAATAGGCTATATGCATTGAATAAATACACGCCTTTTATTACCCTTACTGAAGCATTTAAGATTTTTTGGCTATTAAATTCTTTATTCTCTTCTTGTTGTGTACTTCACATTTACGGTCTTAAGAAATTTCTCATTTAATACTGTCCAATTTTAACTCCGGAGAAAAAATGCAGTTATCAACACAAAAAAATTTAGTAGGGATAAGTAAGAGTTTGAAGATTGTGAAGTGTTGATACCCGTCGCTCAGACGTCTATCAATACTTTATAATCTCCAAAACTTTGGAACCCTATATTGAATTTTTTTGCGTCGATTATCTTGTTTCGATTCTGGAACTAAAATTGGACAGGTCTGTTTTAAATTTAATTAAATGACTGTAATTTGTGCATCACTTACCGCATTGTACTCTTATTGCTAATCGTTACATTTATATGAAAATTATATAATTATTTTAGATTAATTTACATTACTTGTTTAAATAAATTTTCCTACAGAATCTAAATTGAATAGAAAATGTCGACTATTTTGATTTAATTTAATATGTAATTACTATAAATGTTATAAACATTTACCAAAATGTTAGAGAAGTACAAAATTCCTTTAAATGATAATTTGAGAATGAATTCATCAATACTATAATAGATACATATTTTGTAAAGAAGCTTATCAGCTGTTACATTCTGCTTCGAATTGAAAAATTTCTCCACAAAATATTTCAAAGCAGCGCGCTTCTACTCTCATCAATTAAAAAAACTTCGTTGATATCTGATTTTTATGCTACAGCTTTCTTCCAGAAATGATGTCAGCCTATAAAGGAATTTCGTGAAGTTGAATATTCTAATTTTAATAAAACTTTGCATATACAAAGGGAAGTCAATATATAAATGTAAAGATTATAAAAAATTTTAGAGTTGAAAAACAGTATTTTAAATATGAAATTACCTTTTGATAAAGCGACTTTTTATTACATTTCAAAAACTTTTTGAGATATTAAAAAATGTTTTATGATGAAAATATCTTTATTTAATGCCAACATTTTGAAAAAACAATTATTTTGAGAAGTTTTCACTTCTTTTTGCGCTTCTTATATAAAAAAATCCAGCGAAAAATGGAAAAGTTACAATTATAGTCGAGTACATCGAGAGCGCCGACAGATGGACGTATATCTAAAACAGGATCTTTAATTCAAAGTTCCGCAGGTGTTTAGAAAAAAAATGTTTCTCGTTTCTATTACATTTATCGAATTTTCTGTATAACTCGAATGGTCAATTTAGTAACAGTTATGGGCCATTAGTCATAAATCAGAAGTCAGAAGCTAAAAATTGACGACTGTGATTGGTCAATGTTTAGCTTCTGATTTTTGATTTATGACTAATGGCTTGTTGAAGGCTCATTATTGTTTGGACGTTTAATGTTTTCGTAATATAAACTGAATGTAAAATTTTAAATGTGTTTTTCTCGAAACGCAAAAATATGGTTTTTAAAACGCATAACTAATATTTTGAAAATGATTTGACTGATCAATTTGCAATTTTACTTTTTCATTAAAAATTAGTTTGATGTAGTTTGTTTTTTTGTTTTTTTGCCGCCAATAAAAGTTTTTGATAAAAAATCTAATATTTAAATTTGACTGTCATTTAATTGCTATTTTATTTAAACAATATTTCAAAAAACGGCTACATCAATTATTACGTCAATTATTACATTAATTAAATTTATGTTTCCACTTTTAAAACTTATGTCACTTACATATTTTTAAAGCTTTAAAATAAATTTTGTAGAAATAATAGTAGTTATCGCAAACTGTGATTTTTAAAACAAGCTTTAAAAGAATATTAATAACGTTGTCATTTTTAATTATTTTTAAATAAAATTTAAATGACAAAAAGAGTAAAATACACTTTTTACAATAAAATAAATCCGATTTCTTTATCTCTTTCCGTTTTTCTGCGAAAAGTTTATAAAGTTAGGCTTTATTTTAATTCTGTATAGGCCGAATTATAAAAAAAAATTTATAAAAACTTCAAACGATTATAAAAAAATTTATGTAACATGAACTCAACAAATGTCAACAAATATAAATTAACATTGAATTTAGTAAATAATTTGCTGAATAATTTGCAGCAAAATCATTTACTTTGATATCTCAGGTTAAAGTTGATAACCGAGAATAATATTGATTATTAAGAAATAGAATAATATTGATTACTAAGAAAATATTATATGACAAGATGCATAGTCTCTTTGTGTTAAAAAATTAATAAAATATCGATATATTAGTACGTGACTTGAAAATTACGCGGACTCATAGAGAGAGAGAGAGAGAGAGAGAGAGAGAGAGAGAGAGAGAGAGAGATAGTTAACGCGACTAGGTACGTATACTCTCTTAAGAAATATTAGAATAAGGAAAACTACATTAGGCTGTATTAAAATAGTGATAGCGATATATTATAATTATCATTATGGAAAACAATACAGATTATATAATAGGCTGACATAGTTTAAAATAGCAAATGTTATATTTTTGTCATATTTATGTTATAATATGATAATATCGTTTAAAATAATTTTTCGTAGACTCTTTTACAAAATCAAAAGGTATGAAATAAATAAATGTTTACCTATTAAAGATATACGGATAATGCATGATAGCGGATAATAATTGTAGTTTACGCAGATTTACTGAAAGAAAAGATTAGCTGAATATAGCATAGCATTTTTAATAGACTGCATCAGTCAATTTTTGATTGCGTTAGCTAATCAAAATCGTATATTGACATTGCGGATAGGCTGACGCAACTAAAAATTGGCTGCTGCAGCCAATTAAAAATACTATGCTATATTTTATTATTTAAATTGCAGCAATCAATCTTTCCTTCAGTCTATTTATGCTTTTATTTTACTTCTTTTTCAGTATCACTGTCATCAACGCGTAGATATTTTTCTCTGCTGATTCTAAAAATGTTATGCGGAGATGTTTCAGGGGCAAATATACTACTCGGTGGTTTGCCATTGTCTTCCGAGAGAAACTGTGACCGTAGAAAAATTTTCGATTCTGCCGAAGATCAAACTCGAGACTTCTAGCAGACCAATGCATATAGCAGACCTACACCACGTTCGCGTTCATTCTATTTTATTATTATATTAGGTGTATGACTTTGCTTATACCTTTTTCGTATAGATGGCTTTAGCGGTAAGTGGTGATCGAAATAAATAGATCATAGACGTCACACAATAAACTTGGGCATCTGTCAACATAATCCCATAGAAACATTAGTCGATTTGTGTCTGCATCATAAAGTTATTCTCGATTGAAAATGTCAGTTTACGAGCCAAATTCTTGTCATTTGCGGGAGGTTTTAATTTTCTGCTTCAAGATGAAAAAATCTGCGGCTGAAGCTCATCGAATGCTTTCAAATATTTATGATGAAGCCGCTATTAGTGAAAGAACGTGTCGTAAGTGGTTTCAATACTTCAAGAACGGTGATTTTCACGTCGAAGACCAGCATAGCGGTGGAAGAGAGAAGATTTTCGAAGATGCAGAATTGAAGGCATTACTTGATCAAGACTCTTGTCAAAATCAAAAAGAATTGGATCATTAGGAGTGACTCAATCAGCCATTTCAAAACGTCTCAAAGCCATGAGAATGATTCAGAAGCAAGGAAATTGGGTGCCGTACGAGTTGAAGCCGAGAGATGTTGAACGGCGTTTGTTTGCTTGTGAACAGCTGCTTGAAAGGCAAAGATGGAAGGGCTTTCTGCATCGCATTGTGACTGGGGACGAAAAAAGGGTTCATTACGATAATCCCAAGCGCAGAAAATCATAGGGAGTTCCCGGCCATGCTTCCACGTCGACGGCCAAACCGAATATTCACGGCTCCAAGATCATGCTCTTTTTGGTGGGAGCCAGCTCGGCGTAGTATATTATGAGCTGTTAAAACCGACTGAAACAATCACAGGCGATCAGTATCGAATGCAATTGATGCGTTTAAGCCGAACATTGAAAGACAAACGGCCGCAATACAACGAGAGACACGATAAAGTGATTTTGCATGCTCGACACCATGTTGCGAAAGTGGTCAAGACATACTTGGAAACGTTGAAATAGGAAGTCCTATCCCACCCGCCGTATTCTCCATGTTGTCCTCTGACTATCATTTGTTTCGATCAAACGACACCTGGCTGACCGATTTTATGAAAAAGTAAAAAATTGAATCGATTCGTGGATCGCCTCAAAAGATAACCAGTTTTTTCGACGCGGGATTCGTATGCTGCCCGAAAAATGGGACAAAGTAGTGGCCAGCGATGGATAATTTGAATCATAAATGTATAATCAGTTTTTTACAATAAAGCCTCGAATTTCGGAAAAAAACGGTATAAGCAAAGTCATACGCCTTATAGCTACTGCGAAGCACGATATTATTATGTCTAATCTATTTTTATCGTTCATTAGAATAAACGAGGACAGAATGATGCAATAAAATTATGTTTTAAATACAATCTGTTACTGTAATAGACAATCTTGCGATAGATTATTTTGAACTTCGTGCTGCGTAAAAAGATTCCACAGAAGATTTCGAGAATAACGAAGTAAAGCGGAATTTTCCCTTTCCAGTCTATGCCAAACGAGGCGTGCAATTGACTCTCACCAGCTAGACGCATCGTACATTCTCATGAAGCAAAGTTAGTTTTGTCGACCATCTGCCACTGATCAATTTGAAACAGTGACGCGGGCTTTTCCGGTGACAAATAGTACAATTTGCGCGAGCGTCGTTAGTGCAGTGGACGCAAGTGCAATCGTCTTTTCTTCGAGGAATTGAAAGTGACGAAAATGTCATGGAATTAAGTACAATTTGCGAGTGCATCCGGGCGACTGTCACATTGAGGAACGAAAGATCAGGAAGATCTTTCGTTCCTCAATGTGAAAGCGACGTGATATCACGCGTCGCTCTTACTTTAAGCATTCGAAAATAGATTTGGACACGCATTATGTAACGCAAAATAAATAATGTTGTCTTTGCACGTCGCGCTATAACGAGTGTGTTAAAAGAAATGATTAGAAAGACACTGTTGCAGTGTGTTTCTAATCATTTCTAAATAATCTTTTCTATTTTACTTTTCCTCATGCAACACGTCACGGAATTTTTACCTGTAACTTTCAAGACTTTGATAAATTGAACTTATGTTACAAATGACTTTTATCATGTAATTTAAAATATATAAATTGCGATAGTTAAAAATATAATTTTTGAAATTAAAGATATTAGAGCGATGATTGATTAGAGAGTTAAAAAGAGAAAGAGACGAGAAGAAGGAAATAAAAAAAGAAAAAAAGATAATTAACGAAAGGAAAATCTAATATTCTCTTTTTGGAATAATGGGGAATACATTCCGTTGCAAGGCTATGACTTGCTCAAATAGAAAAGTATTGCTAATGTTCTGATTTGGAAAGGAAAAAGTAAGATGTGAAAATTGTGGAAGGGATTCCTTTCTCCAGAAGATGTGCGAACAAGTTCCTGCAACAAACCAGAATATAGTCAGTACGGTTGAAACTTTCGCAGTACACACATCTTACACGCAGAACCACGCTATAAAAATCATCTTGACTAGTTTTGTTCGTCAGTGCTGTTTGCTTATTTCTTTCGAATCAAATTGCTTGCCTTTATAGGTGGACAATCGTTATTTATATATAACACAGTGCTCTAATGTGGACATAAAATAATCAAAATGATTAACGATTTTTCGAATGATATTGCCCTGACAGGTCAGTTATTTTGCACGAATGGAATGTAGTTTTTTTTCACTTAATTGCAATATAAACTAGTTAATTAGATCTGTTAATTTAAATTAACAGATCTTTTATTAACAGATTTTTTAGTGTTCTAATTTAGATATTATTATATGTATAAATGAATTTAGTTTTAAATGAATCTTTTTCTATTGTGCAGTGTATCTTAATATTATAAATCTTTTCATTAATAAGTTCACTAGTAGACCTAAAATTAATGATTTTTTTTACTAAAAAAAAATTGGTAAAAGCGAATAATTTCATATTCTACATGGAAGTTTATTTATAAGAGCTTATTTCAATCATTGATGATAAATTCTAAGTCAAAATTTCAAAATTCAAAATATATATGGATCCAGTATAACGGTATAACAAAAAACATATATTATAGTTGTGACATTTTTTTTCGGATATAAATCAGTAAATTATATAAATTAACTAAATTTAAAGAAAAAAGTTGCAACGATTTCAAAAATAAAAAATTTTTAATCAAATAGTATTGACATTAAACATACAAGTTTCTAAAATTGAATAAAAATACTGTTTATTAAATTTATATTTCATGATTCAGATAATAATTTTATTATATTAAAATTTGTAAAATAAACGATAAAATAAGAATATACATTTGACCGTATTTATAAATTTAATAAATACAAACATTTATTAATTTGCATTTTTTTGTATTAAAAGTTTTTTAAATATTTTATTATTTTGCAAAAAATTATTTTTTTAGCATTGCTTATTAAAATATTAATAAAAACAATAAAATTTTATATCTTAAATAAATTTTATTGTTTTTATTAATGTTTTTAATAAACAATGCTAAAAAAGTAATTTTTTAAATAATATTTTTATTAATTTTTTTATTTAATTTCATCTTAGTACAATAATAAAATTACAGAAATAATAAAATAATAAAAATAAGAAAAATAATAAAAAAGTTGAATCATTTCTTTTTAAGTAACTATGCTAACGAGTT